GAGAATTTGGGCAATTGCATCTAAGTTAAAATAAAAGATACATCTAAGACATCAATTTCATGTCCTCTACATTTGTGTCTCCATATAAACCAAGCAACCAATTATTTGGAATGATATTGCAGTTATTCCTTTTAAGGTTCGTTGAATGTGTGTTCCTGAAGCCTAATAATGTTTTCTCCATTCAAATAGGTTCTTTACTGGTCAGCACAGTACTTACAAATCTGGAAGACAGTGACTTATTTGATTGAAATCTTTCTGAGGCTCTGTGATGTGATCAACAGGGCAGAAATACACAGACACCGCCTCCTCTTCCACTTTAGAATGTTCCATTACAAAGAACAGTGACAACAAACCTTACTCTGATTTGCTTTTTACTGAAGTCTTTTTTCTTCTTATTTTGGTCATCCTTTTATTTTTAAAAATGTTTAATACCATGATTATCTAGAATACCAAAGGAATAGGGAAATCTGATTAATTGATATAACTCAGAGAAATCTAAACCAATTCCTCATCTCATCAGTTGTTACTTCTGTACTTTACATGTTATCTTTACTTTCCCATGTAAGTTATAGATTCTCTCAGTACAGCATAAACTCCTGGAGACAAAAGACTGTTTGATTCTTCTCTTTGTATATTTAACACATAGAATGTTATATATTCCCTTTCATGTAACAGGTATATCCCCAGCCTTCTTGCCACCACGCTGACCACCATGCCTTCCCATTTTGACTCCCCACAGGAACTTAGGACCCAGCTCCTAGGATGCTTCATTCTAATAGGTGAGTTTTCACCCTGTTTTACCAGGAAACAGACATCCATGCCATTTCCCTGGTATCCCTACACCATTTTGTTTCCTCTTCGGCCATCATATTTCATGTTTGTTTACAGTAAATCCATCTTAAACCACAATTTCCTACTTACCTATTCCTAGATCTCAAAACCAGTTTTGAATTTACCTAATCTTTGACACTGGCCCCACTCAATTAGTCATTTTTTTTTGAATCTATCACATAATTTCATATACTCCCTTCTTTCCAATTCCATTGCCATCTCCTTGATCCAGGACATAACTAACCTCTCATAAGAATTATTATAATTAGCTCCTAAATAGTTGCCCAGTCTTCATGTAGTCACTCCACTTTATATCCAAATTTCTTTCCCTAATGTAAAGTTTGGATCATGTCAATATTCTGCTCAATAACTTCCATTTGGATCTCATTGTCTACCAAAGTCTAAACTCTGTAATCTTACCTTCATGGTGGAATCCTGTACATTCAGACTCTAAATTTCCTTTCCAGCTAAGTAGCATATTATCTCCCTAACGTATCCTAGGCATAAGATAAAATAAAATATTTTCCATTCCCCAAAGGTGTTCTTCTCTTTCTTACATACGCCTTTTCTCAAACTGTTCCCTAATTCACTCCCCCAAACTCCACCTATGGAAATATTTACTCCTCAAGACTCAAATTCCCTTTGCCTATGAGACATTTTGTAAATACCTTCGCTCCAGTCAGAAGTCGTACCTTTCCCCCCTGAACTATGCTAGAAATTTCTTTCAAACTTCTCTTAGATATTTAGCATATTTTGTTTTGTATTATTCTTGTTTGCATACATGTCTTATTTCTCCTACTGTGTAAGCTCTTTCAGGGTAGGGACCATGTCCTGTATCTACAGGGTGTTCTAAAATTCTGAGTGTATTTTTAAGCTATTAGAACTTAAAACTGAACTAAGAATTTTGGAACATGCTATATATCTCAGTGACTCAAACAGGGCCTTACACAAAATAAGTTCTGAATAAATATTTACTGAATAAAGGAGTCCTTGTGAACAATGAGACTAATACCACTACCAAGTCTAAATAGAGTCAAAGAATTATTGTGATATAGGACAAGCATAACCTCTTTATTTTAGTTTCCTTAGAAAATAAAAAAGTATGTATTCAGAATCATAAGATAATGGATTTAAAACTGGAGAGGACCTTAGAAGCTATCTATTTCAAGCCTGTTATTTCATGGATGTGAAAATTGAGGCAGAAAACACTGAAGTGACTTTCCTGGGCTCCTATAGCTAGTGAGTATCTGATGCAAGGTTTGAATCCTGGACAACACCAGCTCTCAAGGTCATTGTCCCATCCAACCAAAATGAACTAAAAAAATGCAAATCACCTGGAATGATAAACTAAATATATCTCTATTTCTATACATGTGTATAAACATATCATTTAACAAAATAATCCATTAATTATTTCTAAATAATTCCCAATAAATTGGACAGTTTTTGGTGTTCAATCAAATGATGAAGTCCATTCATCCTCCTTCTGAGTTTTTCCTTGACAACATCAGTTGCTTAGTACTTGGTAACAAAAAAGCTGATGATTCAGCATTTCAAAATGCCAGGATCATCCCAAGAGCTAACCCATTCTACAATCCATTCCATAGCTCATTTGTGTATTGATTCTATTTCATCCAAGACAGAAGACAGAAAATACACACACACACACACACACACACACACACACAAATATGTGTGTGTGTATTTACTGGGTCATCAACTTTAGTCTATGTAAGGATAAACCAAACAACTTAATAGCAGCTACAGATATTCTCCTGGAGTCTATGCTGTCTACATGATTTTACTGCTATCATAGCAGGTAAGGCTATGACCTAGCTGGTTGTGTTGGTGCCAATTTTTTTAGATAATGTGTTGTTTTATTGTTATTGAGAGTACATCTAGCTCTTTTGGGGAAGTATTGTGTATATTGAAGTATGAATGACACATAAATCTATTAGTTTCTGTTAGATGATATTATTTATTTATTTGGTTAAAATTTGGTACAGACCTATGTACAATTGCATTACTGTAGGGCAGTGCTGTCAAACTCAAATGCAAATGGGGGCTACTAATCTGTGCATAAGGATCCCTATGGGGCCACATATTGACTTAGTTTTAAAATGTAATATTGTCTATGTTTTATTTTATTTTTATTGATGTTATTAAATATTTCCCAATGGCATTTTAATTTTGTTCAGGCCACACTTGGAAGTGCTGTCAACTCACCTGTGGGCCTCATGTTTGACATTTCGGTTGTAGGGAACTCTAGGTGCAGATGCTCCCTTTCCCAATGCAGATAAGCATCTTCTCTGCACACAGATTCTCTGAGAGTTGCATGGGGTACCATTAAAAGGTTAAGTCATTTGCCCATAATTATAGTCAGTATGTTCAAAGGTAGGGCTTGAATTCAGGTCTTTCTGACTTTAAGGGCAGTTACTCTACTGTGCCTTGTTACTTCTGCCATGTAGTGGTAAAATTAAATGGTATTTAATACTACAATAACAGAATTCTGCCTCAATAATTTCCATTAAAAAGGACTGGAATTTAGCTGTTTAAACTTTCTCAACTAGAATACTTTCACTTTTGATCTTTCTTCTGGGATAGTCTAAGGATGAGGTTATATATGCATGTATATATATATATATATATATATATATATATATATGTATGTATATATATATATACATATATATGTATATATACATATATATGTGTGTGTATGTGTGTGTGTGTGTGTGTGTGTGTGTATATATATATATATATATATATATATATATGTTTTTTTTCCAATCAGACCATAGAAAATTCTTTGGGAGAAAACATTTGTGTATGTTTATGTGTGTGTGTGTGTGTATGATTGTGTACATATATTCACAACTCTTTCAAGAGGGGTTCTTACTAAGCAATTAGAAAGAAGGTTGTGAAGGGATGAAATCTGAAGGAAAATATCCTGATAGACTCTCTCGTTATTTATATATATTATCTCTTTATCTCTTTTTCACTTTAATGATGCTTGCTTGGGTTTGCCTGATGTTAACAGCTTTAAACAACTTTCTACTAAAACATTTTGGTGTCAGAATAGCTGGAAGCTCCCTCCAAGTCATTCTGTGGAATTGTTTCATCTTTCCACAACAAAACACATTGTATAAGGTTAACTACAGTTTTGTGTCTGAGAGAACTGTCTGCCTGTCTAGTGAAAATAAATAATCACAGTACTCAAAGAGTTTATCTTCTTTCCAATGAAATCTCCTTGGTCATATCTATGGAGGAGCAAAATGGAAAAAAGAGTTGAAACATAGAACATCCTTAAGAATAGATCAGTATTTGACAATTCTTAAAGCCTGTTTTGCTCTCAGACACCCTGATTGTCACTGTAAAGGCTAATTCACAGATCCCCTCAAGGAAATACATCTTTATAAGTCAGTTTCTTTAAACCAAGAAAAAAAAATCAATGATTTTCTTCTTAAAACATGGCACAAATATCAGAGCATAGTTACATGCCATCGAGTGGTCTTAGTTGCCTACGCCCCTTGCTGGATTGTTTTTCTTTGTGATTATCCTATAAACTGAGAACATATGGATCTTGATTAAAAAACAATAACAACAAAAACCAACTGAACAAATGAAATAAAAAATATAAAATTCCCCCAAAACCATTGTCTTAAAAGACCACCTCTGCAATCTTTCTTATGATGAGAAATTAATTAAAAGTCAAGCAAATTTGCATAGCCAACTACTTGGCATAGTGGATAGAGCACTTGGCTGGGGGTCAGGAACACCTAAGTTCAAATTGAGGCACAGACATTTACTAGCAGTGTGACCCTGAGCAAGTCATGCAACCCTGTTAGCCTCAGTTTCTTCATCTGTCAAATGAGCTGGAGAAGGAAATGGCAAACTAGTCCAGTACCTTTGCCAAGAAAATCCCAAATAGGGTCACAAAGAGTCAGGTACAACTAAAACAACTGAATACTAACACCAAAAAGTAGATTTTCCAGTGGTTAAGTATGAATTTTCAAATCAACAACCCCATATATTGCCATTAAGTCACCAATGCTTCACTTCAGGGTCAGAGGAGTGCCACGTAAATCAATCACCATACAGGCCCTGACCTAATTACTTGACTCGAACAAAAGCCTGACATAATGTTTCACAATATTCTGTGTTCAGTTAGTTCCACAGGAATGATGTTTGTGGATGTCACTTGGGAAAAAATTGCATTAAGGTAAGGGTTTATTTTAATGTAATAATCAAGGGACTGTAAAATAAACTTGTTAAAGAGGACAGCATGGACAGTCAATGGAAGGCTAAATCACTTCAGTGCTAGTTCAAACGCTAGCTCTAATCATATCTCCCATGCTTACTTTGTGTTTATTGGGTTAGTCACTTGATATCTGTGATCCTTAGTTTTTTGTTTTTTGGGTTTTTTTTATCTACAAAACAAGGAACATAAGACATTGTATTTACTTCCTCTGCTTTTTGTAAGGCTCATATGACATAGTGGATATAAACCATTTTGCAAAGATCTCTTCCCCACAATTTTATTCTGGTTCTGTATCTATGACTTAATTAGTGTAAGGAAGTCAAAGTTCAGAAACTCTCTCCATCAGTGCAAATAGGCAACTCATCTGGAATACAAAGAGTAGACTGAAACACTGAGAACTTAAGAGACATGCTTATGTCCACACAGTTAGTGTGAGAAAAACTTAGCAAGTATACAAAGTTCAGTTATTTTTAATCTTTTGCAAGGTATAGCAGTAAACCAACTTAGAAATACATTACACACACACACACACACACACACACACACACACACACACTCACACAACCCACTTGCATCCATCCATAAAAGTATAAAGGTATTCTCATCCACACAGGCTTTGTGGAATAGGGTTGAGGCAATTTATCTATCCTATTTTTGAATTTTAAAAATGGCTCATTGTCATCAAATATAGTTCAATTGGAGGCAATATTTAGCAACCAGAGACAATGCTTATGAGAGAAAGATCACTGGATTTGGAGTCAGAAGACACTCATTAGAATCTCAGATTTTCCGCTTATTAAACTGAGTGTTACTAGGAAAATCATTTAACCTCTTTGGTCCTGTTTCCTCATCAGTAAAGGGAAGGACCTAGTCCAAATATCTATGTTCCTCATACTTTTAAACCTTTTTAATTTCTATATAATCATTTGAAGATGGAGAATAAGATAAGATTCATTCAAATTATTTCAATTTGATATAAAATAATTTAATTAAAAACTAATATTTGTGGGACAGCTAGGTGGCACAGTGGATAGAGTTCTGGCCTTGGAGTCAGGAGAACCTGAATTCAAATCTGGCCTCAGATATTTGACACTTACTAGCTGCATGACCCTGGGCAAGTCACTAGGGGAAAACAAAACCAAAAAACCAAAACACCTAATATTTGCTTTCCCATACAACAAATACAAAAATAAATACTATGCACTCCTTTTCCTCAATACACAGTGTGGCTTAGTAGGAAAAATAGTCATATAGTCAAACTTCATTTTTCATATGAAGAAACTGATCATGTCATACGTAATATGGAACAGAATTGGGATTGAAACCCAAGTAATCTGATGTCATCTCTAGCACTTCGCTTATAATGCCCTCCCCAACATTTGCCATTTCTGAATATAAAATTATTTCCTCTACAACACAACACAGCATAATACACACACATAAAACACACACATACCCTCTTTATCAGCAATCTCAACTAAATAATTTGATAGGCTAATTTCTTATATTTCCTGAGGAAATTCCCTCTACCAATTAATGTCAGAACCTGTTTTGCAACTTAAAGTCTCAGAGCACTTTCTCAGAGCACTAAGACTTATTCAGGATCACACAGCCAGTATGCATCAGAGACAGGACTGGAATCCAGATCTTCTAGACTCTAAGACAGGAATGTTAATAACATGCTAATTTTCCTTATACTCCTTACATATAGATTCATATATTTTTTCACACAGATTATCTCATTTGATACTTATAACAATCTAGATATAGATAGGTGAGCAATGTACAGAGGCCTGGATCTGGAATCAGGAAGATTTGAGTTCAAACTCAACCTCAGAAACCTACTAGCTGTATGACCCTGTTGTTTAAACTTTTTCTGGCTCCATTTTCTCACTTCCAAAGTGGGGATAATATTAGCATCTACCTCCCAGGTGGATACTTCTAGATTAAAATGGAATATTTGTAAAGTTCTTTGCAAATCTTTAATTATTATATAAATGCTAGCTCTTATTATAACCTTAGAAGGTAAGTAGAATAGATGAGTTAGTCTGTTCCTAATTCTTTATTTTAACCTATACCAATCACAATTTTACCCCTCTCTCTTTAACTTATTGACTTGACTGGTAGTTCTCGCATCATTCCTTAATAAGAGAACATGTTATTCAGGAATAGAGAGTGTATTCATTCAGAATTTTACATCACAATCATGGCACCTGTATAATACACACCTAATAAATACTTCATAAATGATAACTGACTAGAAAGATTAATTAATTGAAGGATGGATGGAAGAATTTATGAAAATTTTATGAAATTTTGTTAATATAGCTATAAAAGATAAGAAAAGAAAAGCTATATTTGTTTTTCTTACATAAAATGATTTATAATTCAGCATCCTTTATATGTACCCTTTGCATCTTCTCAGGTGTTTGGCAGACTAGAGGTTAACTTATTTAGAAGCACCTACAGTAGTGTGGTGCACTAGTAACAGTAATGTATTTGTAGTCATAGTATGTAGGCTTACTTTCTAAATCTGCCACTGACTAAGTGTATGACCTTGAGACAGCCACTTAAACTCTCTGAGCTGTAGTTTCCTCATCTGTAAAATATGAGTTTAAACTATACGGTCTATAAGTTCTCTTCTAGTTCCAAATGAAAGACCTTGTGATCCTAGTAGAAAGGGAGCTGCATATGAAGTTTGGGAGCATAGACTTGTGTTTTGGTCCTTCTGCTTCTCAGTGGAGATTGTGGCTTACTAATTTCATCTGCACAGGTTTTAGTTTCTCTCTCCATTAAATGGAAATGATGTTGCTTTTACTACTGACCCAGGGTTGCTTTTCCTCAGGTAAGCCAGCATTCATGAAAGCACTTTGGAAATTAAAGATACACACATATATTCATATTAAAGTCAGCTTAATAATTCAGCAAATATCTGTCAATCACTATATACAAGATACAATGCTAAGTGCTGTGAATACAAAGAAGGTGAGGCATTAATATTTTATTTCTTTGAAAGGAGGGAAGAGCGAAAATCACCTAATTGAGCTCAGTTACAATTAAAATATTTTCTCTTGTTATTTGGTGTGGATTTCTGATTTCTTTGGTGTATAAAACTCAATATTAGGAACTGCTTTCACTATTGTAGTTTTCCAGCTAATTGTAACTTAGAATTTTAGAGTTGCTTGAGGCACTGAGAGATTATGGAACTTGTCCACCCATGCTTGCAGAGTCAGTGTGTTCTAGAGGCAGCATAGAAACCACATCTGCAGGATTCTAAGAACAGACAGACATAGAGCATACTTCTTTAATATTCTGGTAATCTAGCTCAGAGTGTCTTCATTAATGGACAATTCCTTAGATTTATATTTTTATAATAGCACTTCATGGACAATATTGAATTTGTCTTCAGGTATACCACTCTGCTAACTTTTAGCAAATATGATTTCAACTAGTGATATGACAGCCCTTGGTTCAATTGTCTTTAATTGAATCTAGTAAGCACAGAATATAGCACACCTTTCTTTAATATGAGCATCAACTCAAATCTCTTTGGAAAAAGCAAATCCAGTTGTTATGAATCTTATCCAACATTGACTACTACCAAACTTCACAAATGACACCCACTTTTATACGTGACCGCTCATCAATCATTTCATAGTATTTCATGTATGAAGTATGGCTTCATTAGCCTGATATTATCTGAAAATAAGATTTTACATATAGCTATTGCATATTTAGTCTGCATGTAGCTCAGGGCTGAACATTAATAAGTTAATTTCTGAAGTATTTGAAGCTTCTCACTTGTTGGCAACTAATGTATGTTTGATAGCAGTATTTCAACAAATTTTCCTACTTTAATAAGCAAAAAATAAGGCAGCTCAAGAGAATGGATATAGAAACAAGATCAGTCAGGAACACCTAGGTGCCAGTCTGTCCCTAACACAGACTAGTTGTGTGCCTTGGACAATTCATTTAACCTCACAATGCAGTAGGCAATTCTTTTAAGTTACAGAGAAAGACTATATCTGCATTGTTAGAAGGGGTTTTCTTATCACCATTTTTGTTGTTGTTCAGTCATTTCCACTCTTGTGTGACCCTTCATGACCCCATTTGTCAAGGATACTTGAGGGGTTGGACATTTTCTTCTGTAGCTCATTTTACAGACAAGCAAACTGGGGTAAACAGGGCTAAGTGACTCAACAAGGGTCACATACCCAATAAGTGTCTGAGGCCAGATTTGTATTCTGTAAGATGAGTCGTCCTGACTCCAGGCCCAGCACTCCATTCAGCTGCCATTCTCATTTCAATTATGGAAAAGCATTCAGTGGTTTCGACCCTATATACAGTAAAGAACATGGGCTTTGTAATAGGAAATTTTCAATCATTTCCCCCTTATTGGTTGTGCTCCAGATCATGGGATCCTAAGTTAAGAGACCTTAAATTTCATCTATTCCAACCTAACTTCTCATTTTCAGGATGAAGAAAGTGAGGCCAAGAAAAATACAATGACTTCATCAAAGTTATACTTAGTAAGTGGCAGTGTAGGAATTTAAGGTTGGGACCTCTGATTCCAAAGCTACTGTTCATTGCATTACATACAGCTTCTCTTTGTTTGAGATTGGCAAGCCTGACCTTTGGATGTATAGAGCATCATTATATTCGTGGTTTAATATGTATTTCATCCATATTTGCTTTCCTTTTCACATGCTTATCTCCCCAATAATATATTTTTTTCTCCTTCCAAAAAGAAGTTTATAAAAGCTGTCTGATTTCTTTAAGTTAGAGAATTAATGATGAATCTATATCCAGAAAATGGAGAATCCCATGAATAAAACACTGATAAGAAATCTTTATAATATTTAAAAAGAATACGGTGAGTAAATATACATTGTAAGCTATTTTAGACACTAATCAGGGGGTCATCTTATATAGATTATATACTTCATTGTAATCCGGGTCAGAATTTCTAGGCAAGTGCCACTCTATTTTGCCTCCTATTATAACTACAAGATACTACAACTGGACAACTCAAATAATTAAAGAACTGAAATAATGAAGCAGGTAGGTGGGAGAAGGGATCAAGGAATTTAGTCCAAATTGACCCCAAAATGTAATCAAAACAGTCCATCCAAGAGTCTATGTAGGCAGAGCCTCTAGATAAATCCTGCCCTGTCAATTGGAGAAATAATTTTTTTTTCTGACAATTTTCTTGATTTAGTAGTAGGTCTTCTTTTCTTCTCACCTTTAGTTCTTCTACTCTTCCTTCATTCTTCCTTTCTCCCTTCCCCGCTAACTTTGGCAATAAAGAAAACATTTAAACCCAACATTAAATGGTCATTTAAAGAATGATATCCTAGCTAGGTTGTCAATCCTTAGACAGAAATTTTTGTGTTAATATTGCTAACAAGAAGGTAGGAAACAAGTAATTTTTTGGGGGGGTATAAAAAAAGGATAAAAACACATATGAAAAATTTAAGTGGGGGGAAATGATTTTTAAAGAAATGGAGGATTTTTAAGCATACTCAAATGAACAGTAATAAGTAGAAAATTTGAAATACAAACAGGAATAAAAAGGAACAAAAAAGTTAACATTAATGAGCAATCACAAAGGACCACTAAAGCCTAATTTTTTAACATTTTAATTTAGGGACACACACACACACACACACACACACACACACATATATATGTAGACTCAGAATTCTATAGAGCAAGTCTATAGACAGAAAGCCTGAAAATGGCTTTGTTTTGTTTTGGTGATCTTAAAAGAATAATATAAAAATAGAGGAAGAGTAATACAATTTGAAATAGGACAAAAGTAGAGGGAGGATGGGAGAAAATATCTCAATTCCCTGGGCATACATGTAGAAGCCTATGCCAAAGAAGGAAACAGAGGTCTGAGGGCTAGTCAGTGACACTTGAACTTCACTTATATCTGAACTGGTTAAAAAATGAAAGAGCACATACACATAGATGGTTATAGAAATATATTTCACTCAACAGGGAAATAGGAGGGAAAGGAGGGAAAAAGAGAATAGAGGGGATAAAATAGATGGCAAATTGAGGGAGAGCTTAGTCTTAAAGAAAACAAAATCTTAAGTAAAGTACAGGGCACTAAAGGAAAGAAAAATATAGAATATGATGGAATAAAATACACACTTAACAAACAGAACTAAGAATATAAATGGGATAAACTTACCCATGAAATAGAACAAGATAGCACAAGGGATTAGACAGCAGAATCTAACAAAATGTGGTTTACAAGGCAAAATAAAACAAAACAAAACAGAAGATACACAATTAAAATAAGGAACTGGATCAAAATCTATCATGCTTCTGATGAAGTAAATTAGATAGAGTTTCAATCTTGGTCTCAAAAAAAAAACATCAGGGAGCAGCTAGGTGACACAGCGTATAGAGCACCAGCCCTGGATTCAGGAGGACATGAGTTCAAATCTGGCATCAGAGACATAACACTTACTGACTATGTGACCCTGGGCAAGTCACTGAGCCCCATCGCCTAGCCAAAAAAAAAAAATCAGCAAAAATAGGCTTAATTAAAAGAAATAAACTAAGAAACTACATTTATCCAATTCATTACCAAGTTCTGTCAACTATCATTCCCTTTCCCACTACAGTTAACCAATTCAGTGCTAATTCCTGCCAACTGGTCCTTGTAGATTTATTCCTTCACAGCCTTGCCTCCAAAATATCTCATCTGTCCTTTCCTTTCTACCCTCACTGCTCTCAGGTCCTCATTACTTCCCCCTTGTTAATGTCAGGAAATACACTGGAGAATCCAGTTGAAATGAACAGGTATAAAGAATGAAGGAGAGCTTTGAGCTCTTCCACCCAGCATGCACTTGCCTCCCCCCTGCCTCTAGGTGTGGCATGACCTCCTCTCTCTTTTAACAGTTTAAACTTGCCACTTCGAAGTTCACCATGGATATTGATATTGCTGCTCTCTTTGTTGACAATGGCTTTGGAATGTGCTAAGCTGGCTTTGCAGAAGATGATGGCCCTTCAGCTGTCTTCTCTTCCATTGTTGGGTGCCTCAGACATCAGTGTGTGATGGTGGGTATGGATCAGAAAGATAGCTACATTGGGGAGGAGGACCAGAGCAAGAGAAGTAATCTGACCCTGAAGTACCCTATTGAACATGACATGGAGAAGATCTGGCATCATACTTTCTACAATGAGCTCCATGTGGCCCCTGAAGAGTACCCTGTGCTGCTTACAGAAGCCATACTGATCCCCAAAGCCAACAGAGAAAAGATGAATCAGATTATGTTTGAGACCTTGAACACCCCAGCCATGTATGTTGCCATCCAGGCTGTGCTGTCTCTGTATGCCTCTGGTCGTACCACTGGTGTTGTGATAGATTCTGGCGATGGTGTGACCCACACTGTGCCCATCTATGAAGGTTATGGCTTTCACCACACCATTCTCTGTCCAGATCTGGCTGGCCGTGATCTGACGCACTACCTCATGAAGACCCAGACCGAGAGAGCATACAACTTTACTACCACATCTGAGAGGGAAATCGTGCATAATGTCAAGGAGAAGCTGTGTTATGTCACTCTAGACTTTGAGCAGGAGATCGCCACTGACACATCTAGCTTGTCTCTGGAAAAGAGCTATGAGCTCTCTGATGGTCAGGTTATCACCATTGGCAATGAGAGTTTCCAATGCCCAGAAGCTCTCTTCCAACCATCTTTCTCAGATATAGAATCTTGTGGAATCCATGAAACTACCTTCAAGTCAATTATGAAGTGTGATGTTGACATCCATAAAGATTTGTATGCCAATACCATATTGCCTGGAAGTACCACCATCTACCCAAGCATTGTGGTTTGATTGTTTTTTCTGTCATAGGGTGTGACATGATAATTGCTCCCCCCCAAAAAAATGAGATTGGTATGGCTTTATTTTTTTAATTTTTATTTATTTTTTGGAGGGGCACTTGACTCAGGATTTAAAAACTAGAATGGTGAAGGTGATGAGCAGTCTAAGTATGTTGGAGACAAATATCCCCAAAGTTTTACAGTGCATCTTCAGGCTCTAATTGTACATTTGTTTTTGCCTTTTTTTTCATAATCATTCCAAATATTGTATAATGCACTGTTACAGAATTACAACCCTTTATGAAGGCTGTCTTCTGTTAGAGCAAAAGATCTACATAACAAAAATCCAAATGGGGAGGGGAGAGAGGGGAAAGGTACTAGTATTGCTTTACATGTAAATTATGTGATCATTTAAAAAAAAAACTTTTTGTTGCCACAATCAAAAAAAGAACCTAGACATCATCTTTCAAGTTATTATCAAGGAAACCTATACTCTGATATTTTAGAACCAGAGGGCAAAATAGAAATGAAAGGAATCCACCAATCACCTCCTGAAAGAGAACCCAAAAGGAAAATGCCTAGGAATACTGTAGCAAAATTCCAGAGTTTCCAGGTCAAGGAGAAAATATTGCACATACCCAGAAAGAAACCACTTAAGTGTTGTGGAAACACAATCAGGATAACACAAGATTTAGCAGCTTTCACATTAAGGGACTGGAGGGCTTGGAATATAACATTCTGGAAGGCTAAAGAGATAGGATTAAAACCAAGAATCACCTGCCCAGCAAGACTGATTATGGTCCTTCAGAAGAAAAAAATGGACATTCAGTGATATAGAGGACTTTCAAGCATTCTTGATGAAAAGACCAGAGCTGAATAGAAAATTTGACTTTCAAATACAAGATTCAAGAGAAACATGAAGAGATAGGACACAATGCCTTACTGTGAAAACTGGATAACCCTTACCTTCTGGTATCACCTCTTTGGAGTCTTGGGAGGCAAGAAAAGCTCTGTTCTACTAGATTCCTGGATCTTCATATTGCTTCTGTACTTTTTATGCAGCTAAGTAAATATTTTTGGTTTGAAAAAAAACTTTTTGTGTCTTCCACCTTAATACTTTTCCTTTTTTTTCCATTGTCAGCCACAATGATTGGGCCCCTAAATTCCCCTCCTGCCCCACACATACATGTGAATGAAGACTTTCCAATCTCCTTGTGAATTTTATGTGATTGGTGCCAGTACTTGAGGAAGGAGCTTTACCTGTACACTGACTTAAGACCAGTTCAAATAAAAATGCACATGTTAAAGAAAAAAAGAAAAAAAAAAGAATGAAGGAAGGATCACTTATAACAGTCCTATGTGAAGCAAATCAGGGTAAGAAAGAGTTACATGGAGGGGATAATCTATAGTTTGAAATATTATAAGGTGAGCAGAATGAACACTGGAAATAAGTTGGGTGATTTGGCATCAGTTTTAGATAAACAGTAGGGATGAAAGCCTGACTTCAAGAATTTCAGGAGTGAACAGAGAGTAATGACATTGTCAGTTTCATTGCAATAGAAAGCATATGATCCTAAAAATCACAACTCTAATATGAATAGTGTTTAATAGCTGTTAAGTATTTTCCTATTATTGATCTTCAAAAGAACTTTAGGAAGCAGGTAGAGTAATACCTTCCTTTCACAGATGAGGAAAGTGAAGCTTAGAGTTACTGTAACTTTTCATGATCATGTGATAAGTCGGAGACAGAAAGACTAGAACTCCAACTTTCTGACTCAGAGTATGATGTTCTTTTCAACGACCAATGTTGTCTCATTCTGTCAGGGATATTCATTCATTAATGCATTCAACAAATATTTTGCAACTACAAAGTGCTTCAGGTAATATTGTAGGAGGCAATTTCTATAATATTAACAACTTCTAAAGTCCCTTTTACCCATAATATTCTATGAATATTGTGCATTAATTTCCTGCTGAATACCTTCTGGTTATACAGCTAAAAAGAAACAGAAAGACTTGGGCTGGCTTATATGCATACAACAAATTCAAATTATTGTCATGGCTGAGATGTAAATTGACAAAGAGAATTAACTCCAAGGTTTGTAGAGTGACACTCCAGCCAGGCATAGACTTCAGACTTTGTAAATTTAACTGTTTAAAATGTGTCTCTCCCTTGAGCTGTATTATTTTAATTGAGAATGCTACTTATCCTAAATTTATTATCCAAATTAAATCAATACCTACTTTCATTAAGTGCACCAAGGGTGCACAGAACTTAATCTGCATGTTAATCCTCTACTCATTTCCCTCTCAACCCCAGGATTGCCACCTGCTACTCAAGAATTGTTTCCAGTGTGTAACTAGATGTTTACAGAACTGTAGGTCACCTGCTATCCCTCTGCTCCCCACTCCCAACACCATACCTTGCCTTCTTCTGGTGAGAAAGAATTAAGGGCCTAAAGGAGTGAGAAGGCACTAGAAGAGAAAGAAAATAGTTGTGACGAATATGAAAGGCAGTCATAAGAACAAGCTAAAAGATACAAGGAATGAGTTGAGGGGAGACACAAGGACAAAATAAAAAGGTACATAAAAGAAATGGTAAAATCAGAAAATACAGTGTAAGTTAAATTGAATTTTGAAGGACATGTAAATTTAGAGTCATCATGTTGAGTTGGGCAAATGTGTTATTGTATTTGCTTTTCCCCCATTTTCCCCCAATCTCTCCTTACCCAAGAAACTGTGCATACTGAACTGCATTTCAGCTTTCATACAATAACATGGAGGGATTTTTTTTAAACAAAAGAAAGAAATGAAATGCCTTGTTTCATACAGCTGGATATCAGAAAGGTACTCCAAATGAAAACTTCTCACTAACATCTGTTTTCTGTGGAGAAAAAAACACACACGCACACATAATATTTTATTGACTACCCAGGAAATACAATTTTATTGGCCATCAGTTTTTCAGTCCCTCAATACCATTTGGTCTGTTTGTGTGTCTAAAACACATAAACACAAACAGCTCTAGTAAATCTATCATAGCAGAATTTTGTGAGCTGCTCAGACTTGGTGAATCCTCCGCTGTCCACTACCACTATCACAGGGGAAAAGAGAAATAATACGAAGATCAAGGAATTTGGGAGGTAGTCACTTGAAGAATGGCAGTAGCTATCTAGGTGGCACAATGAATAGAACACTGAGCCTGGTGTCAGAAAGACTTGAGCTCAAATCCAGCCTCACATACTAGCTGTTTGACCCTGAGGAAATCATTTAACTTTTGTTTGCCTCAGTTTCCTTAACTATAAAATGGGAACAATAATAACATCTACCTCACAAGACTATTGTGAGGATCAAATTGTGAGGAACAAATCATGCAACATTTATAAAGCATTTAACACAGTGCCTGACATATAGTTGGCACTATGTAAATGCATATTCCCTTTCTTTAACTATAGGAGAAGATTACAGGAGAAACAGAAGAATGCTGACATGAAATCTGAAACCATAAACTGAAGCCTAGTCAATAATGCACTGTCAAAAAAAAATAATGCATTGTCAATAGGAAGCTGGATCAAAGCTTAAGAGTAGAAATTATCAGTGCAGTTCTGGTTTTCTTTAAGAATCTGTGGGATACTGGTGTCAGTTTTTGGGAAGCTTTGTTATATTTATTTTTGCAGATCAGAAAAACTAAGAGCTTATTTCTGGATTGCCAGCAGTAGACTTTGAAATATCTTTTATTATTGTGATTATCACCACTCAGCATGAAACAGGTTCATATGAAATAGGACACCAGGAACACACACACACACACACACACCCCTCCTACTTCATGCTAAATAATTGATCGGGTTAATAAAATACATGCATTAAATGAACTGCTTTTCAAAAAATGGACTTTTTTTGCAGGGGGATTCTTTGGTTGTATATTGGTAATTATTACTTGTGTTAAAAGAGACTCTACTAGTAAAGTTAATTTGTATAGACAAGCAGATATGCAATATGTATGTGACTACTTCCTGTCTCAATATGTGTCTACCTATCAATATCATTAATTCTAGACAAATCCTTCATTTCTGGAGCTTCCCCAAAAAATGAAAGTTACTGGTTGACTTAGGATAAATAGAGAAAAATGATAAGTTGTCCAATAGAAATTGTTTCTCTTTCAGCAAATTTCAGGTATCATTGCTTTTATGTATATGTTCAATTTCCCCATTATTAATAAGGATTACATCATCAAGAGATCGGAGATTGAGAGCTGGAAGGAATCTCCGAGGTTAACTAATTTGAGCTCTTATTTTACAGGTGAGGAAACTGAGACTAAAAGTAGTTTGCCCAAGATCACACAGGTAGAAAGTGAAAGAGGAAGAATTTGAACTCATCTCTCACTCTAATATCAATGTTTTTTTTTTTAATTCCAACATGCCACCTCTATGATGCCTATGCAAATAGCAGTATCAGGCCTTCAAGCTGTTTGTAAGTATTCATAGGTTGAAGCACAAAAAGAGCAAAAAAGTTATGAATAATTTAGTGAAGATTCCTCACCACCCCTCAGATCTTGCTAGAGAGATAGTATGCACTGCGAATGAATAGAAGACTGGAGCTAGAATTAGAAAGTCAGTTGAATCTCATACTGATTGGCTGTATTTACTTTGGCATGTCACTTTGGATTAGATACTCTGAAAGATCCCTTGTAACTCTATCTGCTGTTCTAACTATTGCTCTGCCAGTTAGTGGCAGGGCAAGCCACTTAATGTTTCAGAGTCTGATTTTTCATCTGTGAAATGAAGACAACAATACTGGAACTACCTCTCTCATAGGGTTATTCTGAGGAAAACACTTTCTCAGTGCTAAAGCACTATATAAATGTGACTTGTTAATTCTATTCTGGGATTTCTCTGGAGGGTATGGTCCATTGCCTCGAGGCCTAGTATTCTCTGATGCCAAAAGGAGATCCCTGACATATTTTAAAAAAAGCTCTTCCTCTCCTTTTAAATTGTGTGTGTGCCTGTGTGTGTACATACACACACAGACACACACACATACATATATATGTATACACACATATATACATACATATTTTATATACATATATCATTTTTTTTTACTATCATCACTAATGGTCATACCTCTCAATCTTTGATGGCACGCAGACCAAGGTGACAGAGGGGAAGTGTTGAGGTTGGAGGTGGGTGGGTGATGGCAGAGAAAAGTAGAGCAAGTAGAACGCCTAAGCCACTTTAAATTCTTGGAGTAAGAAGGATTCCTTCACTTCATTGTTCTGTGTGGCACAGCTGAGTTTGCCTGAATTTCTGTAGGGGTGAAGTATCTCTCCCTTACTTATTTTATGCTTTCTGTTGGTTTTCCTTCCCTGGCTGGGCAATTGGAGTGAAATAAGAGTGTGTTGTTTATACTTCCATTACACTTGGGGTATTCTTCTGCTGATCATAAGATAGTAGAATGTCAGAGGTAGAATTAGGCTTAGATGTCCAATGTATAATCTAAAAAGCACTACTCTACAAAATCATTGAGGTCAAGAGATCAGTCAGTTTTTGAA